TTTTATTCTTGTTCTTCTTGTCTTTCTATTTGTTCTTTTTTCCATCGTTCTCCTCGTCTCGCAATTGTGTGTGCCGACTATGTCACTGCCACTGCGACTGCCTCACGTCTCCGATGCACGACGGGCCCCAGGAACTGGCTCACATGTTCTGCTCCCTACCACCGTCCCTCTGGCCAGTCGGAGTACCAACGCGGTGTGGAAGCGGTGGCTATCGCGTCCGTGCGATCTACCGAAAAGCTGAGACCTTCACACCACCATCTGTTTGCGGACTCTTTCACTTTCTTTATCTTTCTCAATTGTGCCGAGCTGAGCTAATCCGAGCCGAGCCCGTTTTGTCGTCGCGTCGGGGTACCGACAAGTGGCCAGCCCGTTGATCCGCGACTCGGGGGCCGGATCACTTTCCATCCAGTCCTCCCGGTGCCCTCTTCGCACCGGCCACCCGATTCCCATCGGCCGCCCAGTCCACTTCACTTCCACTTGCCTGCTCCGGCCACTTTCCTTCTCTTGCACCCGAGGCCATTCCCATCGCCTTCATCGGGCTTGGACTGCGCCTGTGAAGCAGCCCGTCTTCCCACCCACTCAACCATTCTCTCTGACTCGTCTCTTCTAACCGTCCCCTCCCCTCACCTCACCTCCTCCGCCCACATCCCACTCAGCCCCACCCTCAAGTGGCAGGCAGTCATATTGCTCCGACACCTGGGCCACAGGGCCGCTGTTCACACAAAAGGTCTACCCGTCCGGCCTAAGTTGCATAACCATGTAACACGACCCTTCATGTTGACAGGTTAATAAAGGATAAGCCGATTGTTGTCTGTCCCACCGCCGGGGTGGACAACCAACAAGCCATTCCATCAACGAGTTGATTCATTTCGTCCCTCTTAGACTAGACGCCTGTGTACCACTCTGACTTTTGCCGTTGTGTGTGTGTCCGTGTGCGTTTGTGACTCTGCATACATCCATATGTGTGTGCGTGTATGCACGTTTGTGTATGTGGAGGTGTATATGTATATGTGCGTGATCGTGTGTTCTGTATGTGCATGTTGTGTAATTGTGGTTGGTAGAACCTGGTGTCTTATTGAAACGCGATCTCGTGCTTTGTTGTCCAAGTCTTGGAAATGTGAACGCGTCTTTCATTATTGATAAAGGACAGAGGGTGTGTTTCCACTGTGCCCACTTGTTCCCCCAACCCGACACTCCTCCGGACTGGAAAGATGAGCTTCTGCTTGGGCCTATGCTTTCGTCTGCCCACTCCGGCCCGGCGTACATGTCGGTCTGGACGACGTGAAAGGACGTTAATTAATGAGAACGCCCAGCCGATACCGGCAACTGAGCCGAAGTGTCAGTAGGCTGGTTCCACTGGTTGCCCCGTTAGCAATGACAAGAGGGACGACTGGGGCGGCTCGAGGAGCCGGCGAACCGCCCGAAAGCTACCCAATGCGAGTGAGGCGGCCCAAATGTCAGCCGTCGGAGAGGGCGAGAGGGGGACAGAGGAGGGGTACCGACAATTGTCCGGGTCTCGGGATCATGTACCAGTCGAGGCGTGTTCGACGGATCGGCTCCCTGTGGAAGCCAGGACAGTCGACAAGACGTGCAACTCCGGTTTGTGGAAGAGAAGACAGACCATCTACGAGGCTCCATTCAAAAGCTGCCTGAGTGGATCGGCAGATGAACTGGACAGTTGGCAGGACTCGAACACTGGACCCATCAGCCCAAGTCGAGGCGGAGGCCAAGTGCAGCTCAGCCAGAACCAAGTTGTGTGTGACTCGACTTTTTATTTCAAAGGAAAATTCACTTGGGCCTCACAAGAAGACGAAGGATGATTGGCAGAAAGGGAAGACGGTTGAATTGTTAAACGAATCCACCATCCATCGCCATGCGATTATGAGGAATCATTGGCACGCTTTTGGCATGATTAAGCAGAGGAACCATACAATAGAATGTCTGTTCTGGTGGGACAGATGAAATCATAGCATGGATTTTTCCAAGTCACAGGACGGTGGGCAGATTAGACTAATTCACGTACCCCTTCAAACCCCTGTCATACAGCCTTAACTACAATTCTCAGCTAAGATGACATGACAGATTTCGACTACTAATGGCACACGTCAGTAGTGCACTGAGGCCAAGAGCAAGTCAGCCTATAAGATGACTTTAATTTCGTGTGAAACTGTCTGACGTAAAGATTAAGGTAAGACAATCTCA